CCCCCCTCCCCCACCCGACGTTCTTTCGTCGTTTTTCGCAGAGGACGACTATTCGTACAGTTCTTCAGCAATACACATTACGAATTTCTTCAAGCTTCTATAGTTAGTAAAAAAAAACCTTAGTGTAGAATTGCAGGACAGTTGAGGCTTCATGAATTGGTAGGACTCCATATACGATTAATTTGCAGAATTGAGCCAAAATTTTGCGACGTCGGTGCATCAATTCCACTTGTGTTTGCTGATCCAAAGCGCGATCTGTACAATCAAAGCAAATGAAAACAAATAGAAACTGCTGACAAGAAATGTATAAGGCGGTTGAATAATGCTCTCCTGGACTACTGAATGTTAGCCTCAAGGGATGCCCGTTAAAGAGAACAGTAATTCAGGTTAGACGAAAAAAATAAATGGCCAAAGCACCGAAGATGCGTTTCTTGCACAGTTCCCCGCAGATTTTTGTCGCTAACGGCACCGGTTTTTCCGACAGATGCTTCTAGCTAAAAGAATTGAGACTGGCTGCCGGAATTGCCAGGAAACATCCCCTTAAAATTCAGCACTCCAGTTCTCCTAGTTTCCAAGTTACCAAGTTATCCGCTAAAAACCTTCACAGGCCTGTACTTGGGTACCACGCGAGTAAGGGCACCGATTTTGGAGATGGAGTCCGTACACTTATGTAGATTAAGTTCCCAAAGTTTCAGCTCTGTGGCTTTTGTAGGTTTCGAGATGAAAAATCGGTGCAGACGAACACACAGACAACCTCTTGTCAATATGCATTTTCCGCATTGCTAAGACGCAAAAAACGCACAAAAACTCGGTGAAGACAAAATCTCCAGACATAAAACGAAAACAGTGGAATCAGAAACAGATATAGATGACTTCACTGTCTGGGCAACTTTCAAAAAAAAAAAACACACCCGCATCATTTTCTTCCACAAAAACATTATCGACCACAAACATTGACAGTGTGCAAATCGCTTCCTTGTCCAGTTGAACAGATAAATTTTTGGAGTGATTAAAGCTTATCAGTATGTCCACAAAGCAAAGAAACGCCTGAAGTGGACTATAAATGATCTATGCATTATTGAATACTTGCAGTATCTAACGCTCAATTCTAAATTTTTTCAGATAAGTGGGGAACAACTGGGGGCGAGGCAAAAATTTCATCTCCTAACTCAGAATTTGCGTTTCTCAATGATTTACTCAAGAATCTCCTCTCCTTTTTGTAAACTATTTTAATAGATAAAATCTAATCTTCATAAAAAGGAATGTGCAGTACGATATCATGTAAGACAGCCAATTTTTGAGGTAGTTATTGCGATGGGTTTTTGATTTTTTAGGTAGTTAATAATTGCGATTTTTAAAGTAGTTAATAATTGCGATTTTTAAGGTAGTTAATAACTGCGATTTTTGAGGTAGTTAATAAATATTTAACTACAAAAATCAAACAGCTAATTCCAGAGGAACAGAAAATTGTCTGCCAAACACAAAAAGCGCAACTTTAATCAAAAAGTAAAAAAAAAAAAAAAACTTTTTACAGTGAAAATGGCGGAGTGAGGTAGAGGGTAAAAAAAAGGGTGGAGAAAAGGGCGGAGGGGTTGAATGACCGATCTACAAGTGCCAAAACTGACTTTCTGTTACCTTAAAAGCAAGTTGCTTTGAAAGGTCATATTTTGAAAATACGAAAATCTCGTATACTGTCCAACCTGTCCTAAATTTTTCTATAAAAAGCTGATAAGAGAGAACGAACATTCTCGACTCCGGACGCTCCATTTGTTATAATCCCCATCACCACATCAATGAACTGATCGCGTCGTTTCATCAATTTTTTCATTGCTTCCTGAAAAAAAAAAATATGAAAAATTCCGATGACAAATGCTACATCGCTCATTGTGCGGACATTTCATCTCCACGATCTTTTTCGTTTGTTGTAATGGCAGAAGGATGAGAAGTTGGGCGCAGAAATCGCGAGCAGGACAGATAAAGTTCGGCAAGTTCTGCGAAACATTCCACGATAAGATTACTTCATCTGGTGCAGAGACCCCATGGTACGCCCGTACGGTATTGCGTGGATTCGGAGAGCGCAAGAATGGATCGAAATGGAGAAGTTGCCAGTTGCATCGATGGCGTAACAACGAACGTCGATGACATACAGCTGCTCAATCCAAGATAAAATTACTTCATCTGGTGGAGAGGCCCCATGATACGCCTGTACGGTGTCGCGTGAACTCGGGAAGCGCAAGAATGGATCGAATGGAGAAGTTGCCAGTGCTGCAGCGATGACGTGACAACAGACGTCGATGACATACAGCTGCTCAATCCAAGATAAGATTACTTCATCTGGTGCAGAGACCCCATGGTACACCTGTACGGTATCGCGTGGACTCGGGAAGCGCAAGAATGGATCGAATGGAGAAGTTGCCAGTGCTGAATCGATGGCGTGACAACGAACGTCGATGACATAT